ATATAAATTGGCTTTTATGAAACATATTTGTTTATTTATTCATTTAATTTTAGGGTCCTGACAAGAAGTTCTCAGGACATCATGATGGGAACTACCAAAGCAACACAAATTTTAACCATGAAAGATGGAGGACTTTTATGTATTAGAACCAAAAACCCAGAAACAACTCTTTCTCCTGTTTTGTTTGTAAATTGTTACCAAAAGAGGCTTCAAAGTTGCTGTTTGCTGTAGCCAAAAAAAGATGGCCATCTCTTGTGTTTACGTTCCACGAGCAGCTGGGAGCCCCGATGAGTCATCGAGGCGAGGATGTTCCTGACCAAAAATGGCTGCAAGAGGACACGTCTGTTGTGTTGGAATCAAGCTGCTAAGTTCACTGCTGGAGAAATGCCCTTCAAATGTGATACAGACACTTTATAAACTCAAAACTTTGAAATTCGTTTTACTATTTCTTTTTATTACACATCAGATATCATGTGTTCTCACTGGGCCTCTGTCCTCTTTGATTTCTTGCCCGTCTCTCTCATCACTGCTGTCATACCCTGAGTGTCTGCTAACACAACAGGTGGGACGTTACTGCCTGCAGTGCGATCTGCTTTGATTTAGTTCCTGAGGTCTTTCCCTAAATATAGATGAACACTGAGCCCAACTGGGACGGACTACTGACGTTTTCTCATTTTGGCTCTTCTGTTATCAGGGATTCAACTAAACAAGTTGATCTAAACACTGGAGGGGACACAGCGGGACAAATTCAGAAGTTTGCTTTTGCAAGTTGTTGGGGGTAAAAAGCAGCAGGAGGTGAAAGATGTCACCATGAAGAGCGACTTAAAGTTATAATAAAATTCATAATCTTATTGAGTTTATTTGATAATTTTCCCCTTTTCATTCTTTATATAACCACGTTTTCTTTTCCTTACTCAGCAAAGTGGTAGTTCAAATCTTTTTAAGTAGGGTTTTGTGGAAAGGGTATGAACAATTATTATCTTACCCGTTGTAGATAGCTTTTTGAATGACCTCAGTTTTAGGAAATTGTAAATTTAATGTCGCCCTGATCGAAGAATGAACAGCTAATCTGAGCAGAACAAAGACCACATGGAATTGCTGCCATCTTAAAACAACTCTACTCTCAAAAAGTTCATGCGAAGTCGATTTTATAAAACTTTAAACCACCATCAGTTTCATGTTATATAACTATACTAGCATAAAAGATGATATTTCTACTTGAAGTGCCCCAGACAGAAGGAGGTGAAATTTATGTCCGGTCTCACCACAACTCACTTTGACTCTGCTTGACCTCGATGTATGTGAATTTGCCAAAATGTACCCTTGCCAGACACATCTTTGAGCAAATAAGTGAAATAAAGTCACAAACCACTTGCTATGCTCTGCCATGGTTTGTAAAAATGCCGTGGTAGAGTCCATGCCACCTCCCCTCCACTGATAGGAGCTCATAAATCAAGTCCCTTTGGTCTAGCTTTCTCTGAATGCTCTCATCAACCAACAAGCACAGAAATGTCTACACCTCCTCATAGTACCAAAGTGGTGGTTTATCGGCTTTTTAGTGAACATATTATATATTTGTTTTTAAAAAAGAAAAACTAAAATTAAGGCTGTGGTTGCAAAGATTAAAAAAAAAAATGGTTGGTTGGATTCTTGTAAAGGAGATGCTTCATCAAAGGCCAGTTAAAGGCCTATAGCATATAAAGAGTATTGGTCCAAGCACTGAACCCTGAGGAACTCCATGACTAACTTTGGTATATGAAAAATATCCATTATTTATACTTACAAACTATACTCTATCAGATAAATATGATTTAAACCATTTTAGAGCTGTTCCTGTAATCCCAATATCACATTCAAGTCTCTTTAGAAGAATATTGTGATCAACTGTATCAAATGAAGCACTGAGGTCTAACAGGACCAGTGTAGGCACAAGTCCATTATCAGAGGCCTAGGAGATCATTAATGACGTTCACTATGCTGTTTCTGTGCTATGATGAGCTCTAAACAGGCCTCTCTTGTAAATGAGTCCCTGAGGCTCAATGAGATTAACCTGTCTAAATCTAAAAAAAAAGTTGAATGGTGACAAATCTTCAGTTCGACTTGCGTCACTCGATACCTCAGTTGAGTATGAGAACGTTTTAAGAACAGAGGTGAAATGGGTGGGCCCACCAATGGAAAGACAAACTGTTGACCCCTGGTACAATACAGAGTAAAGTTCTGAGCAAGGCTCATGTTTAACTTTTACTTTCTAATGCTCAAAACCAGGGCTTAATCTGAGCCGGATCCTGCCGGAACAGGATCTGGGAACGCTCTTATTTTGACAGGGTGCGTTCCAGTAACTGTTTGCTTGGGTCAAGTAACTCTCAGGCTTACCACTAATAAAGTTATGAACAAATATGACTGCCTTGAATGAATAAACTTATATTGGAGGTGTAAACTGAAAATTATTACATAAACACTCATTTTAAACACAAAAGCCACTTACGAGCTCCCTCTTCAGTTTCATTTCCAAATTTACTCGTGAAAAAAATCTCTGCCCCTAAAAAAGTGGTGGGGGTGAGTGCCGAGCTAAGCAGGCAGTCATACGCAGGCTCCTCGAGGTTTCACATGGAGTCGGACAACAAAGAGCAGGGACAGTGTCGGGTTTGGAACCGTCAAGTAAGGGGTGGGGGGGTAGGATGCTTGACAGAAGCAGAGTGTGTACAAATGTAGGTAAACATAGATGTTTAACAACCCGTTAAAATACACCAAAATGTAGAAAATCGCATCAACTTTATTCAAAATTTCTAGGGGAGGAGCCCCCAGAGCCTCCCGCCCCCAAGCCCGCCCCTATTTGCGTTCTGGCATTGATTGGTTTACAAATTAAGCCCTGCTCAAAACAAACTTTTAAGTGCAAAAACTCAAATATGGACTGCGAGATGTTCCTTCAGTTTACGTTAGCAGTTCCTTTGTGATTCTGATGTTGGGTTATATTTTGTATCAACAGGAAATGCCACATTAGTTCCAGGAAATGATAATTTCCATGACATATGTCGATAAAAATAACTTGCAGTGCGTCTCTATTTGTTTAATTTAATGTGATAACTGGTCCAAAAACCTTTTTTTTAATACTGTATTGTTATAAAAATGTTTTTCAGCTTTGGTGTAGCAGTTCAAGAAGATGAGTTGAGCCAACACTACTTTTTCTTTCCCCTGAACAATGGAGTGGGAAAACTAACACACCAGTACACCGTCTCATCATTCCAGTCCATCAGATGTATTCTTCTCTGTGTTGACTCAGGCGTCGGCATGAACGTCCTGCAGAATGCCATCAGTCTTCCTTTCTCTCCGTTTGGTCAGATGTCATGATGTTTTTCAGGTTTCAGAGAGAAATCACACTGAGGGTTCTGCATTACAGTGTGTATTTAAAAAATAATTTAAAAAAGAGTTTCCATGTTCTTGAGCTCCTCCACGCAGAAACGTGCATGAGTGTGTGTGCACGTGCCAAGAGTACAATGTAAGCTGCTATTTGTATCTAAGCCCCATGTATTTACTGCAGCACAGGTGTGAGCTCCACACCACACCAGACAACGTTGACTGTGAAACAAACTGATCCCTCTGGAATGGAGCCCCAGAGAAAAAACACTCGTGTGAATATATATTTTGTATATATATTTTTTATAGACAGAAAACCCCAAATTAGAGATAACATAAAAGGAATCATGAAACATTGAAAACATTTGTTGTAGCGGTCTGAAATCAATTTTTACCACTTGTTTTGGGTCTTACAGGAGAAACATCACTCACCCTGGAGATGGTCAGGGGCTGGTTGAAGTCCTTTCCTCCTGTCAGGCGGAAACCCCAGGGGGGCGGTCCATCCAGCACAACATTCACTGGCATGATCCCTTATCTATATATATATTATTTTTAGATCTCCCAGTTGTTGTCGAAGAGGCGTACAGTAAAGTGCACACTGCCGGGATCACAGTTAAAGTGCAGAGAAGATGAAAAGTGATGAAGATTTTGAACCCTTGAAAAAAATAAAAGGGGGTGGTGAGGGGGGGGGGGGGGGGCAGAGGGAGGGGAATGGAAAAAGCCTACCCCATGAGTGAGGTAACTGGTCAGATTTTGGGAGTGGATCATCATTCTTTATTAGTACTTCATCAGACATGTTCGTGATTTCTTCTCATCCCTTTACTGTTCTCTCCAAACAGAAGCCAGCCTCTTCCATGAGCCTCAGTTTTCACTTCTGTTAGCCTCACACTGGACTGGGACTTTGAATGCCTACTGGGACACTCATAAACAGACAGAAGATGTAGAACAGTCTCTGTCCAGAGGCCAGCCAGCACCAGCGCTTCTCATCTCTGGACTCTCGGGGTCTTGCTGCTCTTCTCCTTATTTGGTCTGAAGGCAAAGCTCCTCTCTGAGGCCCGGAGATCCTCGCAGGCACATTCCAGCCTCTATTGAACTGGATCGAACCCAGTCTTCTTACCCATTGTGTTTGATGACAAAACAGTTCCAACTGAACTTGAACCTTTGGATCAATTTTTTCTTACTTCTTCAAAAGTTTGTTGCAGTTATTGCTGTCCTGAATGAAACGTCACTCACAGACTCCAAAAACAAAATGATCCATGACAGAACCATAACTCTGCACACTACATGTAGCTATGACTGCATATTTCAAATACTTACACAGTATGTACTAATAACGGGGTGGCACGGTGGATCAGTTGGTAGAGCTGTTGCCTCTCAGCGAGAAGGTCACCAGTTCAAATCCTGGCCCGGGACCTTTCTGGGTGGAGTTTGCATGTTCTCTCCGTGCATGCCTGTTTTCTCCGGGTACTCCGGTTTCCTCCCACAGACCAAAAACATGCATGTTAGGCTGATTGGCAACTCTAACGTGTCCCTAGTTGTGAGTGAATGGTTGTCTCCATGTATTCTTATTAGTTTATTTAGTTCACTGTCCATTCCACCTCTTAGTGTTCATAATTACAGCTCGTCTGTTTAAAAAAAACAAAAAAACGTTTTGTTACATTCAGAAACACTTCAAAAAATAAAGGCATTTTGAAGTGGGGTTTTGTCTAGTATTTATAAACAAAACTCAACATATTTTAGACTTTTTTTTTAAGAGTATAAATGTGATTTGATTGATGAGATAGTTTCTAGTCCAAACATGACTAAGCCCACAGTGGATCGCTGCTTTATAAATCTAGTCCAGTATGCAAAATTTCAAACCAGTTCTAACAAAAGTTATTTAACAGATGTTTTTGTTGCTACAAACTTTACTTTACACTAGTACTATACCAACATTTTTAATTAAGCTTTGACTGCTTACTTATTAACGGTCAGTGGACGCACGCAGCTGAGGGGGCAGAAAATAGAAGATGATGCGTTTGTCCTTTCATGGCCGCCAAAGCGCATTAACTGCTTCTGCCTGCATTCTGCATTATTCAGACATGGACCCTGCTCTGACATGTTGGATATTTTGTGGATCTCACCTGTTTGGGTTGTCGACCGCGAGCGTCCGCTGAGTGCAGCAGCTGAATGAACGTCCATCTGGGCTGAAGGATTGCTGGCAGTAGTCCATCTGAAGCTTAACTGAACTTTTCACCTCTTTCAAGGCCAGTCAGCGCGCGCTCAAATGGCTGCGTGCTGCTGGTGATTGTATGGCAAGCCATTTTTCCATATAACTGGATCTTCAGCTTCACGCTTCTGCTGACACTTAGCCAGACACCGATCCGGCCTGCAAATTAAATTATTATGGCCTGGCTCTAATCCGGGTTGGACGGGGCTGGGCTCAGGGTTTGGGTTAGAAATTACAGCTCTAGTGCAAATGGCAGCAGCAGCTAGCTGTAACACCATGGCAGCCTGGGGGCATTAATCACATTAAAGATTTGGAGATGACAGTTTTAAGACGACAACAGCCCACTTTAGTTTTGGCTGAGTTCAGACTGGTTAGTTCTGTTACTGAAACGGTGCATTTCATTTGTATACAAAAGTTGCTGTTTCCAAGTTATAATGAAAAATAAAATGAAATGAAGAGTTTTACCACTTCCAGCCTAAAAATCCAAAATGGTCATTTTGTGCATAAAAATGTAGTGACAGATGCAAAAAAAAAAAATGCTTTAACTGTGCTTCGTTTGATTTATAGATCAATAAATCAGTCGTCCATGTAGCTAATCCTCAAGTACTCCTAGTAGACATGTTGCTGTAGGCGAGACAAACCCTGCACTGGGCTTAGTTTTTGAGTTTGTGGCAACTCACTGGGCAAGCAAACATCATATAATTTAGGTGCAAGATGGAGTTGGGCATCTAGGATTGCAAAGTTCCCACACAAACATCAGCTCCTTCGTTAGCAGTTAAGTGAATAGTTAGCAGCATGCCAAATGCACATAACTTACATAGCTATACATAACCTGGAAAAAAATTACAAGTTATATTCAAGTGAATAATCTGTTTGTTTTATCATTTATATACTTTGAATAAGTGCTTTTTGTCGTGTATGAGAGGGCATTAATCTCAATCACTGTGGGTTTATTAAGTTTTTGGCCTAAAATGATCTGTTAGGCTAACTTCAAGCCCAAATCTGTGAAAAGTTTCCAATAAAACGTAAACCTTATTTAAAATAAAGTGAAAGTAAGAGTAAATTAATTTGGAGAAAACAAAACGAAATTTTAAAAATTGGACCTTGTTGCAGTTTTCATTAAAATGGTCTCAAACATTCATTTTCCCGGGCCCACACACGCAGATCAGACATGACACTCTTCAGGCGATTAATATTTCACGTAGAAAAGTCGTCTAATACTACAGTACGTGAGGTACACCTGGACAATGCTGAAGTTATTTCATCAGTGGTAGTGCTGTTAACATTATTTAGGTTACAAGCATTGCATTGTGGTAATTTTTGTTTTTACAGACCCAAAATTGCTTCCTGTGGTGTTTTCATATATCTGTTGGAAATTAAACAACAAGTCACGTTTGCTATTCTAGAAGAACAGACCATGGTGGGCACAGTTCCGCTAATTTGCTAACAGTTTTTTGTTTAGCGGATTAGCTTTTTGTTAAATTCAGAATCCATTAACATAAGTAGCTTCCACGAAATTAGGTTTTGCTTATTTTAAGTCCACTGGAAAAATTCACAAGCTAGTTCCTATCTGGTGTGGGCGTGTCTCTAAGAGTGTTAGGCATGCTATTGGCAGACTACGTGTACATGTGACAAGATGTGATTGGTTGACACAGCTTCAGTTGGAAGGAGACGAAGATGTTGATTTTAAATTATAGGCAGAAACATGGGTTTGCTATGGGGTCTCCAGTTTCTCCTATTGTTGCCAACCTGTACATGGAGGAGGTAGAAAAGAGAGCCTTGACGTCCTTTTCAGGGACACCACCAAGTCATTGGTTCAGGTATGTTGACGACACCTGGGTTAAAATCCAATCTCAGGAAGTCCAACATTTTACTGACCACATCAACTCTGTGGATAAATACATCAAGTTCACACGAGAAGATGTAAAAAATGGCAGGTTGGATTTCTTGGACTGTGAGGTCTCAGTCTCTGATAGAGGACATTTGCAAACCGAGGTGTACCGCAAACCCACCCACACAGACCAGTATTTGCAGTTTGACTCCCATCACCCTTTGGAGCACAAGCTAGGAGTCATCAGGACTCTGTATCACAGAGCAGACAGCGTCCCCACTAGCTCAGGAGCCAGGCAGAAGGAGAAATCCCACACAAAACAGGCTCTAGAGCAATGTGGATATCCTAACTGGGCCTTCCTGAAAGCAGAGAAGAAACCCAAACAGGACTCCAGTCAGCCATCAGGTGAAAAGGAGGAACCCAGATCCAGACCAGTGGTCATTCCGTATGTTGAGGGAGTATCAGAGAAACTGAGACATTTATTTTCTAAACACAATGTCCCAGTGACTTTTAAACCCCAAAATACATTACAGCAGGTGTGCCCAACCAGTCGCTCGCGGGCGACTGGGCGAAGCCTTGACTTGTATTCTCACAGACATAGTCTCGCGAGTTTTGGGTGCGGTGACACAGCGCTCTCACGAGACTTTAGGCTCAGTAGTGGAGTAATGTCGGTGCGCAGAAAACATGGATGGAAAACTAGCGAACAAGCAAACGAAAACTTATTATTTTCACACAGAGTGGGAGGAGGAGTATTTTTTTGTTTATTCTAATTCGAAGTCCATTTGCCTCATCTGTAATTCGAGCGTTGCCTTACCCAAAAAGTGTAACTTGGAGCGGCATTTCAAGACGATGCACAAACGGTTTGAGACAGATTTCCCTCTTAAAAGTTCTTTACGGACTCAGAAAGTGCGGGAGCTAAAAAACAAGCTTGCAGCCCAGCAATCAGTCTTCACTCGGCCCAGCACAAAAGGTAAAGCTGCTACGATAGCTTCCTACCGTGTTAGCCGCATCCTGGCTCAACATAAGAAGTCTTTCAGCGATGGACAAGTTATGAAAGAAGCGTTTATTGAGGCTGCAGATGCGCTTTTTCATGATTTTAAAAATAAAAGTGAGATCGTAGCTGCTATTAAAGACGTGCAGTTGTCCAGACAAACAGTGACACGGCGATGTGAGGGAATGGCTGTGGATGTGGAGGAGCAGCTAAAAAAGGATGTGGAACAACGTGAGTGTTTCTCTTCGGTTTGATGAGTCGACAGACATGGTGGATGTAGCCCAGCTGTGTGTTTTTATCAGAATGGCCTTTGCAGACATGAGTGCAAAAGAGGAGCTGCTCACCATCTTGCCTTTGAAGGGACACACAAGAGGAGAAGATATTTTTAATGTGTTTATGGAGTTTGTTAATAAAAGCAACTTGCCCCTCTTTAAACTAATTTCTATAACAACTGATGGCGCTCCAGCAATGACTGGTCACACCAGTGGATTTGTTGCACTCTGCAAGCAGAATGATGCTTTCCCAGACATTTTGCACTATCACTGCATCATCCACCAACAGGCCCTGTGTGGGAAGATTTTAAACATGAAGGAAGTGATGGATG